TAGTCCTATACCTTATAGATGGGAGGCTCTTTCGGATGAGGATGAAACCCGGGCTTTCTACAGGACGATATGAACTTCATTCCATATTCTTGGGTAAGTGAAAACACACCAGTTCTGTAAGAAAGATGAAATGTCAACCAAGGCAGATAAAAAATTTCAATGAAATCTTAACCTGAAATTTCGAGTTGTTTGAGCAAAATGATGTATATTCGAACAACTCGAAATTTTAGGTTAAAATTTCATTGAAACTTCGTCAGTATATCAATTATGTTATTAAAAAATGATTCTGAAAATTTTATTACAATCTCTGCGATGAGTTTCGAGAAAATTAATTTTGTAGAAAAATGAAGGTGTTTTTCTTTTGCATCGTTTATCCAAATGGCTTCGCTTTTTGGCAAATTAATTTATCAACAAGAATTATCGATAATCACTGTGACTTCTGTGAAAGTTTGAGTACAACTGAATCGAAATTTGCGAGTTTAAAAATACGCGCGAAGCGCTATTTATTACGACCGAAACACCTTAACTTACTCATTGAATTTAGGAGAGCACACAATAGCAATGGCCTCTGGCATCATTAGCTGGTACGAGCAGTGTGTGTGTAGGTCAACACTGGACATGAACGCTGTCTGTGAAGGATGTGTCTACAACAGTAAGATAATACCCATTTAGCAATTCTACAGATTAACGTAATAAACAATAAAACCATGAAAATCGTTAGTAGATGTCATCACATACTACCAAGACCAGAATGCTTTTCCCAATTACTTATTTTCAATATTCGGTTGCAATGAATCAACAGTATTAAATATCCTGGTTCCAGATGCTTGTTTTTTTATTCTTTTGCCTACTTTCTTGTCGAGTCGCGATCCCATGATCCCATACAAACCGATTCAAAATGGCAGAATTGTGATATGGAATATTAGCGATATAGACTGATTCTTACATTCTGATTATGGTAGCAAAGTGATGCGCATTATTGCATATCGCCTAAAAAATCGCCTAGTAAAAAAATGTGTAGGCTCAAGCGGTATAGACTGATTCTTACATGTATCCAGCCCAGTGTGATGAGATCGTGGCTGTCTTGGTAGTCAAACAGGTCTTCTTCAC